CTTGGGGCAGGTGCTGTTAGCGAGTAGCACCTGTGAAGGCCGGCATGGCACAAGAGGTGACTGACACCAACGCCTGGCTGCATTTCGTCTCTCAAGTGGCGATGTTGACTACACACAACACCTAGGTACAACTCATTTGGAGGCGGAGTCGACCTATGGGCAGGCCCAGGACCGGTTCAGATAATTGCCACTTGTTAGCTATGAGCGGGAATGGAACCCAGGCGTACCGAGGTTGGTAGGGCAGCGTGCTAGCCGCTACACCACCGCTCAACATGCTATATATATACACACACAATTAAATCTCACCTTGGATGTTTTGTTTTCTAAAAATCTGGCTAGTTTTGTCAGTTACTCCCGAAATGTGCAGTTTTTTAAAATAGTTTTAATTGCTTGATCAGTTCCAACGTTGTTGCTATTTGATTTGGTTTGGGCATTCAGTGCCCTGTTTTATGCATCATTGAAACCGTAAATTGTAGCGCTTCTTTAAACATGTTTAATCTCACTCCTCAGACTTTCACCATCTGAAACCTTCTGAGTGTCTTGATGAGAGAGGATTTCTGTGCGGGATGATGGTGCGACTCTGCACTTTGATAGCGTTTACTGAAATAAAATGCACACTAACGCCTGTGTTATTTGAGCGTTTCTGCCCCGCCTGGGCAGAATACATTTAAATTCCTGAAATCTAACACAAAAGCCTTTTATGAACACATCCGCGTGTTCAATTTTTATCCAACTTTGTTGTGCCTCCTGAAGAAGGCCTTTTTCCCGATACGTCACCTATTACATAACTCCCTGTCCCGACCCTACGGGCTGCTCTCGGCGTGTCTCCGACTCTCCTCTTTGCCCTGAGGAATGCCTCGCTAAAATGTTCATTCTGATCCTATGGAAATGAACATTGAAAAAGATAAGCCACCGTTTTGGTGGGGAGTGAAAAAGAAATGCACGCTCATCAATGTCACGTATTGATGAAAAATAGGATCAGAATGGGTTTCATGGTTTCATTACCCTTTCTGGCAATCATAAAACAGTTGTGTTAAGATGTTCTAACACCAAATAGATCATACCCAGTATTGCAAGGCATCAAGTGTGCATTCACCACACATTATTTGCGGAAAAACATGAAAACAAACCTCCGATTTTTCGGTTTGCCATGTACGGTGCGAAAGAAGTTCAACATATATGCATGCTCTGATAACACTGTAACACATTTTTTAGAAAAAAATTGTTCCTGGGTAGTAATTGTTATTTCCTAATTGCTTATACTCTTAAATCCGGTGAACTTCACTCTTCGAGAGAATGAGGTTTGAGCTTCTAGATTTGAATGAGGTTTGAGCTTCACAGCCAGATGACAAACAGAGCGCTGCGGTGGCTAGGAGATGTTAACCACCTCGTTTGGTATGTAGAAAGTTGTGGGTTCGATCCCGATCCTGATGCCTGCTGTATATTTTGAGTTTGCATCTCTCTCTGTGGTTGCATGGATTTTTCTCGAGATCCTCCGGTATTTTCTCTCCACATTTAGAATCAACATCAATCGTTAATAGCATTTGGCTACTGCTTATAAATGTCCACATGATGATGATAAGCCAATTCATTGAGCAGCTCTCATTAGGCATAGCCAGGTCGCTGGTAAAATAAAAACATATATATAGTTTAATAGTTTATTTTATGGTGATAAGACATTTATAAAGCGGGTTGATGAGCAGAGTGTGAGTGTTGCAAGCGTTAGGCAGGCGAGGTGGTGAATGGGTGCGTCACTGCATGGAGGCCGGAGGAGGCGGATTGTAATTGCAGAGATGGCCAAGTAAGATAGGGCAAGTGGCCTAGGGGAGGATTTTGGATAAGTATTGGTTGTGGTACACTTTTTAAGATATGCAAATTGCTGCCAGCTATGCTGCTGCTTTTTAGCAGTGGTACACAATTTAAATGATTAAACTATTTTAGTTCACCAGGTAAGGCCTCACTGAGCTGTGTAGTTATTTTGTCAGTAGGGATCCTGGCTATCAAAAATGATAGCTCAACGAAGTAGATTAATCACCATCCTGTGGAAATTCATTTCAGCAACCACATACTTTCTAAACGCGTGGTGATGTTTTTTTCTAAAATGTGGAACGGAAATCCCAGAGGTAAAATCCTCCTCACCATGAGGAGAGAGACGCAAACTTTTGATACTTGGCAAAACAAGTCCCATAGATACCAATTGACATGTTACAAACGTGGGGTCTCACCAGGCCCGTGGTGTCCAGCTCTCGTTGGCTTCTCTATTTGCGATGCTACGATTCAGCTTTGCATGGTCTTGCACCAATGCACCTTCGGGCCCCGACTGATCAGCCATACGACCGGTGTGTATACACTACTACCACGCTCTGCAGGAGCAGGACTAACTTATCAAGTCTCCTAGCCTCGGCTCTTGCGCTCGACGCTGGGGGAGGGGGTCGGTCCTTCTCAAGCAGTGCTCCAAGGGTCTGGAATGCATTTCCTGCGGTGAACGGGCGCGCTACGAGCCTCGGTGTTGTTTATGGAGGGAGTGCAAGACTCGTGGCTTTTACGTGAACATCATTGTTTTTATTGGTCAATGCATTTCATTTCAGTGTACAATGGTTTTGATACCTCTTGAGTGGAGGTGATATTACATTTAAAATAAAATACGGCATAAGCTACTGAACTAAAAACTAAACTATAGTACTTTTATTTTAGCAGGTGTAAGACCCCACTGAGCTGTATAGCTCTTTAAAAAAATCGACCTGGCTATCACAAATGATAGTTCAACGAGTGGCCATATTATCGTCACATGTACATTTGTAGCAGCAAAAAAAAAAACTCTAAAACGCATGTTTCTAAATGTGGAGGGGAAAACCGGAGGGCTTGGAGAAACATATATGCAACCACGGGAAGAGAGAGACGCGGAAAATCCAAATATGCAGCAGGCGTCAAGGGTCGGGATCGATCCCACGACCTCCTGCATACCAGCCAAGGGAGTTAACATCCCCTAGCCACTGTAGTCTGCACTCCTCTAACAGAGGAGGAATACAAGCACAGCTACTTCTTGACCAGCAGATCTCTACCGAGGCATCCAGCTCCTGCTGCCATACGCAGGAATATAATCGATGTGACGAATAGGGATAAAACCACGCCTATGCGATGGCCGTGAAATGGCAGTGCAAAAATGTTGTAATCTCCCCGTATAACCCGGTGGATCCAGAAAGTCAAATTTGATAATTGGTTCTTTACCCTTCTATCTGGCAACAAAACTGACACCTTTTTACAAGGAGTCATGTTTGCATAGACCGCAATACCTGCAGTCATAAATACAAACAAAAGACATAACTCTGATAATGTGCACTGTCCTTGAAGTTGATTGGTCCACACCCGAGACAGCTTTCCTTCGAGCCTAGTCTCACATGGGTTGGACCAGAAGACGCCAAAAGGCGCACAACTCAAAGACAATGCACCATCAGAGTATGAGAGCTCGGGGCAAGCATCTACACTATGGGGACCTCATTTGCCAGTAAAAATATGATAATTGGTTCTTTACCCTTCTATCTGGCAACAAAACTGACACCTTTTTACAAGGAGTCATGTTTGCATAGACCGCAATACCTGCAGTCATAAATACAAACAAAAGACATAACTCTGATAATGTGCACTGTCCTTGAAGTTGATTGGTCCACACCCGAGACAGCTTTCCTTCGAGCCTAGTCTCACATGGGTTGGACCAGAAGACGCCAAAAGGCGCACAACTCAAAGACAATGCACCATCAGAGTATGAGAGCTCGGGGCAAGCATCTACACTATGGGGACCTCATTTGCCAGTAAAAATATGATAATTGGTTCTTTACCCTTCTATCTGGCAACAAAACTGACACCTTTTTGCAAGGAGTCATGTTTGCATAGACCGCAATACCTGCAGTCATAAATACAAACAAAAGACATAACTCTGATAATGTGCACTGTCCTTGAAGTTGATTGGTCCACACCCGAGACAGCTTTCCTTCGAGCCTAGTCTCTGGTCCAACCCATGTGAGACTAGGCTCGAAGGAAAGCTGTCTCGGGTGTGGACCAATCAACTTCAAGGACAGTGCACATTATCAGAGTTATGTCTTTTGTTTGTATTTATGACTGCAGGTATTGCGGTCTATGCAAACATGACTCCTTGTAAAAAGGTGTCAGTTTTGTTGCCAGATAGAAGGGTAAAGAACCAATTATCATATTTTTACTGGCAAATGAGGTCCCCATAGTGTAGATGCTTGCCCCGAGCTCTCATACTCTGATGGTGCATTGTCTTTGAGTTGTGCGCCTTTTGGCGTCTTCTGGTCCAACCCATGTGAGACTAGGCTCGAAGGCAAGCTGTCTCGGGTGTGGACCAATCAACTTCAAGGACAGTGCACATTATCAGAGTTATGTCTTTTGTTTGTATTTATGACTGCAGGTATTGCGGTCTATGCAAACATGACTCCTTGTAAAAAGGTGTCAGTTTTGTTGCCAGATAGAAGGGTAAAGAACCAATTATCATATTTTTACTGGCAAATGAGGTCCCCATAGTGTAGATGCTTGCCCCGAGCTCTCATACTCTGATGGTGCATTGTCTTTGAGTTGTGCGCCTTTTGGCGTCTTCTGGTCCAACCCATGTGAGACTAGGCTCGAAGGAAAGCTGTCTCGGGTGTGGACCAATCAACTTCAAGGACAGTGCACATTATCAGAGTTATGTCTTTTGTTTGTATTTATGACTGCAGGTATTGCGGTCTATGCAAACATGACTCCTTGTAAAAAGGTGTCAGTTTTGTTGCCAGATAGAAGGGTAAAGAACCAATTATCATATTTTTACTGGCAAATGAGGTCCCCATAGTGTAAAGTCAAATTTGGCAAGAAAAACATCAAACACGACTCCCATGGAACCGCTACAACCTCGTTGCTTTGCGGTGAATTTGTGGGTGGCGTTGTGTCGCATCCGAGAGTAAAGCCTCGCTCCACACATACACCCTCCGAGAGTAAAGCTCACGTACCTTTGCACACACGTAGTCGGTCAGGGTTGTCAAGACGTCTGCCGGCAGGGTGGGCCGGTAGCGCTTGTACAGGCGGGCCAGTTCAGTGCCCTCGAACACGCGCACGGACATTGCTGCTACTGCTGCGAGGAGATGGAGGAGGAGGTCTGCGCGGGACTTCTCTGGCTCAAGGTGTCGAGGAGGAGGTGGATGAGGTGGTGGAGCAGGAGGAGGATGTCCAGAGAAGTCCCGATGGCTCTGGACAAGAGAGCGAGACCCGTTTTATAGAGAAGTCAACGACACAACCCCACCCATGTGTGTGTCTGTGTGTTTCTTTCATTTGGCACAGTAGGGTGCACAGGTGGTGCATCAGCCAGTCATATCGGTAATCTCAGTCAGGTGACCCGTGGCACCTGCTGGGTCTGCCCCGGGACCTCCTGCCAGCGGGCGTTCGACACTTCACGTGGCCTCAAGGTGCACATGGCCTGGCACAAGCGTCGTGGTGACGTCACCGCCACTTAGTGGTGAATGGCGGTTGTTGTTGATTATTTCATTGTGTGTCTGGGGAGCGGTAGCGTAGCGCGCTACGAACCCGGTTACCCGAGTTCGATTCCTGCTCACGGCCAACACCAGTGACGATTATCGGAGACGGTCCTGGGCCTCCCCTAGGTCGACTCAGCCTCAAATGAGTACCTAGTGTAGTAGTATCGCCACTGGGGAGACAAAGGTGTTCGGGCGTGGTGCTGTCCACCAAACCCCTCGTGTGCCGTCCGAGCCTTCATAGGTGCTCGCTAACAGCACTTGCCCCAAAAGTCTGTTAAGGCTTTACGTGGTAGCAGTGGTGTAGCGGTTAGCGCGCTGCACTACGAATCTGGCGACCCAAGGTCGGGTGTGGTGCTGGCTAATACATTTGCATTTTCCAATAATTAATGTATAAAGAGTGGCATTGTGTATTTTGAATGTCGTCGCTTCTTGCAAGCGTACACATGTGTTAATTGCGTTTCGAAAGTGGGGGAAAAAAAGCAATTAGCATTAGTTAGCGTAAGGAGTGGAAATAAAAGAGGTTTTGATGAGATCAACTTGATATAAAACCAATTTACCCAAGTGGAGGATGGTCTTAGGAAGCTGTGAGACTTGTTTCTTCAACAATGGAGAAGGGCGGGGGGTGGGTAACCACTAAAAAAACAATATACAAAAGTTCTCACACAGCCGGAGGACACAAATTGGACGAAAGAGACGAATAAATACTCTGGTTCTTTCGGTAAAGTCACGTAGGTATAAAATAAAATATACCTACGTGACTTTACTGAAAGAGTGTCTAAATTAATGAGCCCCCGGGGCATTCGTAGAATTGAAAATTTGAATAATTACAACACTCAGTTCAACACGTGGTAGGGCTTTCGCGACCAATATGATCAATGATAAAGGTTTATTTTGGTTATTTCGCGTAAATATAAATACGTCGTTAAACACGCCACCGCCGATACAGGCAGTTAATTAGGGTTTGTCACGTAAACAAAACGTGGCCAATTCGTTACTTGTTCAGCACTAATCGGTTATTGTGTGGGAGAGTAAACCCACTACAACATTTAGAATTCGAGTACCGTCACGTTTCGCCAGTAATTACTACAACAGCAAGCAACATCATCGATCGACAGCCAGAAGTTGTAGATAAATCCTCTTGTTTCGGTCTGAAATAGAGGAAGTGATAGATGTGAAGTCATCACTTGTGCTAAGGCCAGGGGGGTGGATACCCATTCCTGGTTGGCTTATTCATAATTACAACTACTGCACAAGAATATTCTTAAACATCATCATGATTACTACGTGGTGATTTTACTACAAGCTTATTTGCCCGTACGAGGACGGAAGCTGTAATATTTACGAAAAAAATGAGCAGGGTATAATTGTATCTTGTGTAAATTGAATGGCAGTGAATCTTGCACGAAAGTACGTAATAAAACACTTCACTGCATTTTACTGCAGCACTGTATATAATTCACTGCTCTGATACTTTATTATTTTCTGCTTTCGGTCGCTGGAGTTAAAATAAATTGGATTGCAATACAATATCTGGAGAATCACCGAGAAATGTCCATTTTACCAAAATGTAGAAGTCTAAAGACTTATCTTTCGTCTCAAGCTGCTGAAGAAAAAAAGACCCCGAATCCACTTTGTTGCTGCGTTGAATTATTTAATAGATTCGCTTCATTTATTAGATTAAATTTCATTTATTAGATTCATTTTCAATAAAGAAACGTGAAATTTAAACGGAATTTGCGAAAAAAATTATATTTCCGCTCGACCTTCTTAATGACGGGGGGTGCGGCATGTGGAGTGACGTCACGCACGGGACACAAACTCCCTCCTTAATAATCAAGAGCGGTAGACGTCACTCCACATGGAGCTCCCCTCCTCATTAATAATCATGGGATGATGACGTCACTCATGTGGACCCCGGCCCCACCCCCCCATTAAAAATCATGAGCGGAAAATTATTTTCGATTGAATATTTCAGATTAACAGCAATACACCCGTCCTCGGACTGGCTATAGGCTACTTTTATCATAATTTAGAAGCAAAAATTTGACTTACCTTTTGTTTCAAGTGCTTAAGAAATAAATAAAGACACCAAATACACTTTGTTGCTGCGTAGACAATATTGATTTGATTACATTTCAATAAACAAACGTCAAATTTACAGACAATTTGCGTACATTTTTTACATTTCCGATCGCCTACACACATTTCTGGGCAATTATAGTAGTAATAGGATGTACTGTTATTATTCGACGATACAATCTAGGGGCAGAAAGGATTGACGTGACTATGTATGCATGCGGTCCGGGTTAAGCATGCGATACGTGATGATAACGGAATTATGGGAGCTTGTGTTGAAGTGTTGAACCTAAGGATCATTGTGTACAACAATAGCTATCTTATCTATAAAAGTATTTTTTGTCTGTATGTCTGTGCGTATGTTTGTCTGCTTGTAATGCGTTTAACAAATACAATCAACGAAGCTTCCAGACAGTGGCGGCTCCTGCAAAATCTCTCAGGGGGGGCAAATGTCTGGATGATTGATAAGGATAAGGTCCACCCATGCAATGGATAAATTAACAGCTTAAGCATGTAAAGGCAACTTCACTTCTTTAATATTAATGAAAAATAAAGTGACTCTTACAATACATCTTGTTTGTTTCTATACTCACTATTAAAACAAACCACTCAAGTTTCTTTTAAAGATTCCACTAGGTGGCCACAAATTATATTGTTGGATGAAACATGCTTACGTATGATGATGTGGGCACGTATGATGACGTAAGCACGTTAGGGCGAGCCCTCCCGGAAACCATAGAGAATGCATTGCAGCGCCCCCGTTCGAAAAAAAACATCTTTGAATGTAAGTCTATGGGGCCACTCTGGGCGATTCTCAAGCGGGAGTGAAATCGCCCAAAAAGAGGCGGTACTCCACAGAACGTGACATGACGCTGATTGGACTATATCCAGAGGCACAGTGACGGCTAGCGTGACTCTGTGGTTGAATGACATTGGTGGTGCGTCGCCCAATCGCCCTAATGAAGAAACCGCCCCTGCTTCCAGATATACATTGGCAATTTTTTTAGTCCTTAGTGAAATCTAAAGTAGGAAAATCAAACGTTTTAGAATGTATGCTGATCGGCGTAATGATACATTAGAGTCGTGAGCACATCTGCGCATGCGCGGAACTCCGACTTGTGGTTGCTCCTAGCAACCCAAAAAACGCTTGCTTAGCGATGGAAGTTTCTTTCACATTAAATAGAGTGGCACTTTGGTGCACAAAAACAGTGGAGCAGCAGCTGTCGCAAACAGCAAACACATAACGAATGCAACTCGGCAGCACGGGCTGAGGAAACTCCTGAACAGCGTGCATGGAGACAATCCAGATACTGCACAGCCAATGCAGCAGCACGTTCTAAGGAAACACTTTTTTATTACACGCTTTTATTTAATTCATTCTGTCTGTTGTTGTTGTCGTATCCTCAAATCTTGTAATTACATTTTTACCCACTTCCAAATGTGGTATCGACTGCAAAATTATAGTTCTGTCATACGGATGACAATACTATATTCTATCATTAAAAATAAAAAAAACATACATTTTAAAACATTATTTTACACGCTTTTTTACACGTTTTTATTTAACTTACCTTACTCTGTTGTTGTTGTCGTATCCTCAAAACTTGCATGACATACTGGTGACAATACTATATTCTATCATTAAAAATAAAAATATGTATTTTTAAGCAATCTTTTTTACATCTTATATTTCGGCTTGGGTCTAATTGTCCACACTCAACTCACGTTGGCTGTAAATCACCACAGTCCCTTACGTTGTGGCAAGCGTCGGGCCACTTCCTGGAGTCGTGGAGTTCTGCCATTACTCCTACGGCACATTTCATTAAAGCATGTTTAAAAAAAAGTATTTTAAATATTACTTATTTACACGCTTTTATTTAACTCACTGTCTGTTGTCGTATCCTCAAATCTTGTAACTCAATTGTTACCCACTTCCCAATTTGGCATCGACTGCAAACTTGTGAGAATTATTTTATTATGTTTTATTTTTATTATTTCCCTACGACGTGACTTTACCGAAAGAACCAATAAGATGAATCCCTGCAGTCACGAAAGCTTTAAATCGAAACTTGGTATAGTTATTTCATACTGATGACAATACAATATTCTATCATTAAAAAAAACATTTATTTTAAAACATTTTTTGTTTTACCAGATAAGGCCCACTGAGCTGTATGGTTCTTTTTCAGAAGCGACCTGGCCACAAATGAAAGCTCACCAAAGTGGCTTATCGTGTGGAAATGTATAGCAGCCAAATATTATAAACGCACGTCTCCAAATGTGAAGGAAAAAACAGGAGGACCCGGAGAAAAATCCACATGACCACAGGGAGAACATGCAAACTCCAAATATACAACAGGCATCAGCGTCGGGAGTGAACCCATGTCCTCCTGCATACCAGGCGAGGTAGTTAACATTTCGCCACCGTGGCGCCAAGAAACGAAGTCCCCTTCGTAATGTTAGTATCCTATGGTTTCCACCTTGGTTTGTGCGTCTTGTGCATTCTAATTAGCCTCAGGGTGCGTTATTGGTAGCGCTACTGTGCATGTCCGCGCATGCGTGCGCGCGATGGTGTTCGCTAACAGCACTTGTCCCAAACAGCCTGGTGTGGCTACACAGGGGATCTTTGCATTCGTCAGTGCGTGCGTGCATTGTGCGCATGTGTGTGCACGTGTGTGTAAATGTCTGCTTTTATGAACGGCGGCCGAACCGCACCGTGCGTGCTCCGTTACCTGCGCCACGTCAAGAAGGAATATTTGAAAGAAAAATCCGATGGCGCTGCCGGTCATCTGGTAAGGGGCGCCACCAATCCTAAAACAAATCTTGCTCATCACAGACAGCTTGGTGCTCTTGGGCTCCTGCGACATTGCGACATTAGCGCGCACGCACACACAGACGGACACACACAAAAACACATGGATTACTGCTTGTGAGAGTCAATAACATTATTGACAGGGTGGCACGCACGATGACGGACGTGCACGTCCGACAAACGTTATATCAACCAATTGTTAAACGTTGGGCATAGCGTGGTTGGCATGCGGGTGTGGTGCAAGAAATTAAATGAGTCCCCCCCCCCTTCACATCTTGTAGCCCAGTACCTGGAGCCCTCCGGCTCTTGAGCTAGTCTAGCCAGTGGGCATTCTAGCTAGTGGGCAGTCTAGCCAGTGGGCAGCCTAGCTACTGGGCAGTGAAGCCAGTGAGGCCAAGTGCAGTCCCAGCGCCTGCTCCACGCTCAACAGCTACCGCTGCTGTGAAGCTCATGAAATTGCTACTTTGTGAAAACATAAAATATCACGTGCATTCAAGTTGGGCCTTTTTTGTATATGCTTTGGAATGTATCTAAATATGGTCTGAGTGTGCATAATCCTGAAAATGTGTGTTTCACACGCCAAGTTGGGATTCGGCATGTAACATGAAAATCACGTGGCTGAATAATTGAATGATTATGTCTTCTTGGTGAATTCATATACATCATATAAAAAAAAATACATGTGGTCAGTGAAGCAACAAAA